ATTATTATATGCATGATAAAGAATACGTGATACTTATTCTATACTCAGATTGATCACTTTTTTTAATATGTAACGTTTAACACTATATAGTTTCATAAGTAATGGTAAGCTAAGTCTAATTGCATTATTGATAAAAGTTTAATGCTAAGTCTAATGAATAAAAATAAAACTAATTACGTAGTAATGTAATATCATGTATCAAAATTGCAGTTCGATTTTAAATCTAAAGTTTGATGCTAAAGTCTAATAAGCTGCGATATAACTATTATGTACGAAATTGCAGTTCAATTTTAAAATTGAAATTCTGTAATTGAAAAATATTGTAAATAAATTATTATACATAACATATCTCCAAAGTTTTTTTGCGAACCATTTATCATGACTATACTTTTAGAAATAATTAAATTGTAGTTAGAATTCTAGATGATAGTTTTAAATATAAAGTTTATTGCTAAAATCTAATAAGTAAGAATAAGTCTAATTTTATAGCAACGTAATATTATATATCAAAATTGTAGTTTGATTTTAACTCTAATATTTAATGCTAAAGTTTAATGAGTAAGAATAAACATTGCAAATTAATTATTATGTAAAAAGTATAAAGTTGTTCTCTTTACCTTTATAATGACTATTCTTTTATATCATAATTAGAATTCTAGATGATAGTTAAAATTTGTTATTTAAAAAAATCAAAATTTCTTTTTGCGATTATTTAATTAATTGATCTAATTTAAAAATAAATTCAAATCTACAATTTGAACAATTTACAACCGAAGCCCTTCGTGAAAACAAAAACCATCTAGGACGAGAGCAATATGCAAGGTGTATGACACATGCTGATGAGAAACCTGTCGCTGAAAGGTTCAGAAGTCTTCGTGAACGTAGAAACTGTCTGGCAAGAGAAGTCCGTGTTCATCGCCTTGCAAAAAAAAACATTGATGAATTTGAACCACATCAAAATATCCAAAGACAAGCACTTGCAAAGAAAACCACTGAGCAAGTTTAGTTACATAGAAAAAAACAAAAAGAATCTAAAAATCGTATCTCTAATACAGCACATGTTGAGAATTATAATACAAAGACTGTATCTTTACATAATATTGGAAGTATGAGTATTGAATGTTCGGAATGCAAAGCATTACATTGGATAGATGGGAAAGTAGCAGGATCTCGACATGCTCCAATATTATTATTGTTGTTATAATATAGATAATGATATAATAAATTATATAAAATTACAATTATTATATATTAATTCTTTTTATATAATAGTATAATATTATATAAAGTCAGTATAATAGTCAAAATTAATTGTAAATTTTTATTATAATATTAAAACCTAACCCGTCATTTAATGACAGGTCCATCACCTAGTAGTATTGAAAACTTTTTTAATAAATCAGATGTAAATAAATAATTTATTTAAGAAATTATATTATAACAAAATATATTATATAATCCAAATTATAATATATAATAGTATTGATAATAATATTATTATTAATCAATAATTATTTATTATTTTTATTACAAATAAGCACTAAGTACTGAACATTTGGTTAATTATTTTCGAAGGCGGGCAGGGATTTTTCGGGCACTATAATTGTGATCCTAAAATTTATATGCTTTAAAATATGAACCAAAAAAATTATTTCTAGCGTTTTTTCCCCTTCAAAAATAATTACCCATTTATTAAATCTTAATTATATTTTATTATAATATTTAAAATTAGCATGAATTGATATTAAGTAAATATTTAAATATTAAAAATATTTAATAACAAATATGTCAAAAAAATAATGCTATAGTTGTAATAAGATTTTTTTGTTAAATTTACAAAAATTTTTATACATTATTATTTTCTAAAAAACAAAAACCAATAATAGAAAAATATTAAATTAAAATAATTAGTATATGGTTCCAATCAGTTTAACTCACATATTTTTAAACTTAAACTCAAAAATGCTAAGATTTTTTATGTATTGCATAAAAACAAAACCCATTAAACAAGTTGTTTTAAACTATTTTCAAGGATTAAAACTTATTTTTTTTTGACAATTGTATATAATATAACATACAATTGGACCTTTATCATAGATCATGTGTTATGAAATTCATGACCTGCAATTGGTCGAAATTGAAAGTCACATAATTGGATCAATAATTAAGATGCAATCAAAATTTCTTTTTCACCACACAAACTATCAATAACTTCACAAAAATGTCTCATCCATACGTATACATTGTTAAACTTAAAAGTTTAATTTTTCTGAAATAGAAAATTTCACACCAAACATTAATCTAATACATTAATTTGCCAATAATAGACCTATAGTATTTTTATCCACTGAACAACTTTACTTAGAACCTGAAAAAAGATTTCAGTCACCACTTTTGCGATAATCAAGGATTTTGGTCAAACATTTATAGTATCCAATCAAAATATATTGTTATATCACATGATCAAGTGATAATTCCTTAAGTTATGCATACAAAGGATTGAGAAATATGTTACAAATTAGTCTTTCATTAACTTTTCCATATTTGTATTATTTGTTACTCTCAATAATTTAGTACACTAATTATATTCTTTATTTCTTTTTATATAAATAAGATAATCATGTATTTTGTGTACAAGAGAAAAAAATGATAGAGAAAATGTAAGAAAGTTATAAAGGAAATATAGAGAGACTTGTAAAAAAATTAAAGATGGAATTGGTATAATTAGGGGTGTAATAATGTTTTGATAATAAACAGTTCTTTACAAATCACCACAATTATATTTGTCTTCATACAATTATAATTGTTATGCCTCTTGCCTTATGATTGTTACAACCTCAAGTACGTTCTCTACAAACTATAGCACATCACATTAGGATTATGTCCTAAATAAAGTGTCTTTCTGCTATCATTTCTCTGTCCTATGCTAGTCTTTGAGATTGAATTGGCATATGATAACATATAACCTCTTTTTACACTTACGTGCTTACTATTTTTATATGCTTTACTAAAAACAAAAAATTTTAGAACATAAAAAGAAGACAAGAAGAGAAAAAAAGGTGGCACTGCAACTGTCACTTTGTAAAGATGAGCAACTAAATAGAAGTGAAGTCAAAATTTCAGATACTGAACTTGTTTTTTGATTCATAAAAATGACCATAAACTTTTGAAGTGGAAAAAATCAGCTGAATTTTATCTAAGGAAAGTATACATGGATGGATCTTAAAGCAATATGAAATGTAAAAGAAGGGCAGAAAGGAAATACGTACAAATTGCAGAAATGTGTAAGCCAATTACAGTATTTTTTGATTCTGTAGTTCCTTGTCAATACAAAGAACCAGAACCATATAGTAATTGCGAAAAAAAAAGAGATGAAGCCAACTGCAATATAAAAAAAATGCTTTTTTTGTTACAGGAGAAACTCAGTGTTTTGTGCAATGAGCAAAAATGTCGCTTGAACACTTTTGACTCTTTTCAAATGCAGTGCTTAGCCCTATACTTTACAGATGTGCTAAATAAAGAGGGCAAGGTCAAGAGCAGCAACCATACTGTACTTTCTATCCTTGGAAAGCAAAAAAAATCAGTGGCAGATTACTTTCTTCTCCATGATCAACTTCTTTTAAGATTCTAAGACAAGCATGCCAAGCACACTTTATTGCTTATGAATGAAAACATTGAAATAAAATACTTGAAGTAGCTTCGCAATGCAAAATTTGAGAACTGAAAAGTATTACTATTGCAAGCCTTTTTTCATGACAAGATCATTCCATAATATCTCAACATCAATAATCATTATGTTCCAAAATTCACGATAATTCGATATATGTGAAAATGTGACTAGACATTTTACAGGAATAGACAAGACATTTATTATAATAGGCATAAGCAGGAGAATATTATGGTATACCACCAAATATTTACAGCAAAAATAATGCATTATGCTTGTTTCATAAAGTCATTTGAACTGGAAAATGAAGAATCAATAATAGAGCCAATCCTAGATTCACTTATTGAATTCACAGAACATGTTCTAATTATTCATAATAAGACATACTTTTATGTTCTTGATGACCAATCTAATGCATAGCTCATGGAGGGGAAACATGCATTAGAAAAAAGGAACAGAGCCAAGCCTTAATGGTTTCTGATTTCATATGTCCATGCCATGAAGTATTGTGTATTAGTGACGATGAAAGCAAAAGATTGAATTTTCGAATAAGAGCTAGAGTTATTATTAATCCGAGGCATCTTGAAATGACTAGTGAAAAAGTGACGACATGGTCAACCAGCTAGTGCAAAAAGTGATTCCCCTTTTTGTGCACCTTCATCTCAACTGCAAAAATATATTTTGCTTTGATCAATTGTCTAATCATAATGCTTATGCAAGTGATACTTTAATTTCTACGAAGCTGAATCTTAGCAGAGAAGATAAGCAGTGAATATGCCATATAACATGATTTATTCAAAATAGACTAAAGATCAGCCAAGATATGCAAAATGAGAATGGTAAGCCAAAAGAATTGCACTGCATATTACAAGAACAAAATTTATAGATCAATGACCTGCGTCTTACATGCACAACAGTAATTGCAATTAAAATGAAGTTGAAGCATTACCTACCTTGTCTGGTGTTAATTCTTTTTCTGTGTGCTGTGCCCAGTATCACATTGCAGCCCAACCAGACTTTCTGACTAAGAAAACATGATTGCAGCAATCTGTGGAAGCGACTGGCAAGTACAAGTTCTTGCTGTATTCTAGGTTTCATTGTGAATATAATTTTATTGAATGGATTTAAGAGAAGCAAAACGGAAAGCCCAAGCAAGCTGCAATTACAAATTTGCCACACTAAAGAAAAGATTTTCAAAGATTTTAGACAATATTCACATCAAGCATGTCCAAGCCTACTTCCAGAAGTCTTTTTGTTATGTTTCTGCATATAGCTTAAGATATGGTGGCTCTGATATATTTAGAATTGTTAAGAAGTATAAATTTCATAGAAATGTTTCTGCTATATTAGATGAAGAAGTTGTAGTATTTTTAAATAAAAAATAGGCATTTAGTATTAGTAAATATATGAAAGGAAAATGTAATACTTTGATGTAAACCAATTGATAAATTCATCTATTAATTTAATAAAGATAGTCTCATATTAGTTTTAAGTTTTAATTTTAATAATTGTAAACCTATCTATACTTTTGAATCATAGTACTATTGAAATCAAAAGTATTAAAAAAGGTTTTTCCTAGCATAGACACTGGCAAATAAGTGTACTCCTCCTTTGTACCACATTATATAAGAACATGAATATTAAGAATCTATAAAAAAAACTCGAGATATTATCATGGCAATGCATAAGAGAAGCCTCTATAAATTCGATCATCTATATTATGACAATAGTTTCAATGAAAAATTAATATTTTATTTGGATTCTGGGCTACCACTTATATATTGAATCTCATTTTTCAGTAGTTTTTGGCAAAGATCTGTGTAATAAATTTAGAATATTTATGTGACGCTTCGCAATATCTAATTTTTTTTTTAAAAATTTTATTATTATATCTAGATCATAGAATTACTTGGGTTCTTTTATTCAGACTTACATTTTGATTTGAAGTCTAATAAAGGTAAAGTAATAGAAGAAATGGTAAAAGCAATGGAAATATTGAGGACAAAAGCAACAAAGATGATAGTAGCAACAGGGATGATGGTAGGAGTGATAGGGATGGAGAAATCAATAGGAATGGTGAGGATGAGAGCAACAGGAATAATGAGAATGGCAAAGGAAATAGAAATGATGAAAGTAATAAAAATTATGAGGATGCCAAGAATAATAGAAATGATAGGGATAGTAAACGTTTTTTTTTATTGGAATCTTTCACTTAAATCTAATACTTAGATACATCCAGTAGATAACTTTATATATGAAATTATCTGGGTACTTGAAATTGCACACTAATATGAAATGGGGGCCCACGTATGATATTGCTCCATGGAGTGGCCATTTAC